CAGGTAGAACCACATCATGCCCACTACAAACACAAAAGGCTGACCACTAGGAGGGTAGGTACAAGAGTAAAGGAAAAGAAAGGAAGAAAGAGAAGGAAAAGAAACAAGTGGTCAGCGTTGAAAGAAAAAAAAATATAGGTAGGTAGCACTAGCAAGAATAGCGCTAAAGTTTCGAGCAACAACGTCAGTAATTATTACTAGAAACGCGGAGTTAGTTATGCAGTTATTGGGTGAAGTCAAAAGTCTGGTGGGTAGGCAGCGCCACTACCAAGCAAAACCGATTGTTGCTAGTAACGTAAACGGATAGGACTGAGCCTTACAGGCCAACACACGCAATTAAGTTGACCGTTAGACGCAGTTCAGGAACAAACGAAAGGAAACCTGTTTAGCAAATGCATAACACGACAAGCATCAGAGCTTAAAGGGATATGAAGGAGCAACATAACCCGTTTAAGGAGTAGAACCCTGCATAATCAGAAAAGCTATCGTCGTACGCCCCGGAAGAGGGGGAGAAACCTGAATTGGCTGCACACAATCGCACCCAACAGCTCTGCATCGCATCACAAGACAGAGCAGTAGCAAACACACCCCCGAGGGTCGTCCTTAGGTTGACGGGACGCCACGTAGAGAGTCGGTATGAGGAATAGCAATCATAGATGTAGGAGCGCCGTCTCCGCTGAGTTACGAGGAAATTAATACACAGGGCGGAAAAGTCAGGACCCTTCCCTGCTGAACCGGAAAATTATTGACCGAGCAGATAACCCTCGCCCTACACTTGTGGAACAACCCAATACAGATGCAAAATAGGACACAAAAAATATATAGAGGTTGAAGATGAAGGGAATAAAGGAAACCGTGGGCGGTTTCGGTTCGAAAGGAGGGGGGAAGTTGTAGTGCACGGGCACTACAATAGCTCCTCTGTGTGGCCTCTAGAGACCTAGTATCATGAAAAGGATTACATACTATAGGATATCTCAGGAGTTAGGACATCTTTACATAAGAGAAGCAGTATAATAGGAAAGGACTGCTCACCAGCCTGCGCCAGCGTGGGGGCTGGGTGTGAGGCCGAGGCTGTGACTCTGATACTGACCCTCAACGAGGGTCAAGGAGTTCTATTCTTCTGAGGATTTTCCCCTTTGAAGATATCAGAGAACTCGAATGCTTTTTTAATATCTAGTGGGTTTTATAGTGTGAATAGCGAGAATCACGAGTTTAGATCTTAGAGGCAGTGTGTACGCATAGTCGCATAGCTTA